ACCTAAGCCTTCTCACTTACTAAGAGTATAGCAAGAGGTAGAGAAAAAACATCAAAAATGTGCCTTATATATGATACCACTTATAGCAACAAACTCACATTAATCTGTTAGATCTGCCTGACCCAGGTCTAGCTCCATAAAGATAACACCATGTAAAGTCCAGCTGTAAGGGCAAATCAGGTGTTATTTGGCAGCTACAAGAGACCCCTTCCTTTCCTCTTCCCTAAGATTAATTAGTCCCTTAACTCCAGTTCTCCAACATTTCAACAGTCCAAGTCAGTACATGACTCCAACTCATGGGATCTAGCAGCCTGATTAATATGACCTTTACCCAAAAACAGTGTGCCAACACTTCTTTGAGGAATTTTTCATTCTTGGTGGTGAAGACAAAACAGAAGGGGAAATATATTACAAAGCCTTTTTTTTTTAGTGTGAGGGTGTTGCTGAATCCTTCTTCAATTTACTGTTACAACCAATCTTTAATTAGACTTGGTCCAAAGCTAGATGCTGTTAACATAAGCCTTTACATAGAATACAATCGCTCTTCCTCATTTTTTTTTTATGTATTTCCTGAAGAGCCTCTATTCATCCAGTGCAGCACCCCAGTCAGAAGAGTTGTGTTAACACACCTGCACAATCCCAGTGAATTGTATCTCTGCATCTAATTTGCCCTGCTTTCCCCATGCTATATGCTTTTGTGAGCAGGCATTAGAGACAGACCCCATGTCCTGCTGCATTTATAGAAGGGCAAAAACCTCCCTTGTTAGACTTGTCACCTAAACATATCTGTTCTGTCCCTTATGATCTTTCATCTTTAAGTTACGGCAACCTTCCATACCCAGTCTAACAGTCTCCTCAGCAGATCAGTAAGCTTAGTGTGTAAAGATACTCTTGTTCCACTTTGTTAGATTTATTCCATCCCTGCTGAGTAGTCCTCATTTGTCTGGTCCTATAAGCCAAAGCCCCATCTTCAACAGAAAGCCATACAGTCTACTTCTACCCAATCTTTCTTACTCTGAGGATTGGCAAGACAAGATCTCAGCTCCTTACCCATCACCCTCATCCCTAATCCTCTGCAGTTCCTCTTTATATGCACCAGGTTACCTCCAAAGCAGTACTCTGGGTACCCACAAGGAAGAGAAAGACGAAGAAGGGGTCCATGTGAGGGGGCTGGACAAATCTTGCCTGTGCATTTGCAACAATCCCAGATCCTGGCATCTACCAAGCAATAAAACTCCTGAGACATCAGGTGACATCAGAAAATACATGCCTTGATTATCCACGAGAATAATCTCCAGTAATTTTCTGTGACTGGTACCCACTACTCCTGACTCATGGTACAGCACTGTTGTCACAGTATAGTGTCATCCATTATGGAACGGGGAAGTGTAATACCACATGAGATATTTGGGATGGCAAAATCTTCTGTAACTGTTCACTCAACTCCTTTCCATATTTTCACTAAGACACAGCTCATGCTAAGGCCCGATATAACTACTAATCTGTGGCCAGCTCTCATTCAACCAAGGATTCTTAAAAGAACCTGTCCCCACAGTATGAGACAGTGCTGGTCAACATTATGACTCATTTTCCCCTTTTTGTATGAACTCTAAATTCAGGCTCAGCTGACTCTGACAGGTCTTGTTGATTCTCACCAGTGCTTAGGATACTATATATATTCTGAAATTGAACAACTGCAGGTGGAGCAGATCTGTGACTTTTGTTGCCAGAAGGCACAAGCTTTCAGACTTTTCTATCTCAACAGTCTCTGTCCAGTTGGTCTCCAGCTGTCACTCCTTCCTCACCTTGTGTAGTTGGGTTTTCCACAAATACCACGTCAGTCTCCTCTTCATTTTCTTCTGCCATCTGGAATCTCAGGACCTTGACCACAGCACATCTCCCACAAGAGTGGCCACCACTGCCCTGACCTCTGGGAAGACACAGGAGCTCTCTGAAGCATTCAAGGTGGATATAGGACTTCCTCCTAACAGAGCCAAGGACTCTGATGTGCTAATGGCAGTTCTGCAGACTTCTACATCTTAAGGGAAGTCTATGTGCTGGACAGTATCTCCTGCAGCCTTTTCCGACTACCACTGTATAGTCTTCATGCAGACCCACATAGTCTAAAGTGGAATTCCTAGCCCTCTTTGCCCTTCTGCTACAACAACTGTTTTGTCTCACTTACCACGCTCTGTGGACTCCACTCTGGCTTCCTTGCTCTTGCTCTAACAGGTACATTTTGGTGAGAATATGATCTTGCCCACATCAACATCTCCCCTGAGCACCCAGCATCCAGCTTTTAAAGTGCTGTTGCTGCTGTACTGCTCTGCCACTCATACTCTTCTCACCGTGAATCTCACTGGACTGAATCCTGAACAACCTGATCTGGCTTTAAGTTAGCCCTCTTGTGAGCAGAAGGTTTGAATGAGATCATCCCAGATTCCTTGCACTTTAAATTGCTCTGCATTTTTATGTCAAGGACCCTGATGAATGTACACTAAAGTTCAACTGTTTTTATTTTAACAGCAAACAAAAACCAAAGCAAGGATCTGTTCCTCTGGAGGAAAATGCATTCAGCATTGTTATGGCACACAGCTGTACAGGAAAAGAAAGAGTCTGTTTTACTCTTTGTAACCTTTGTGTAGGAATGAGGATAACTTAAAGGCCTTAGAGAGCTTAGACTTCATTTACATGTCTGTTTACAAGCTGTCAAAGTGATCTGCACTGTATATTCTATTGAGAGATCACCATCAAGTGAGCTAATAAAGCTATTGGCTTCATTAACTGTTATCACTTTCCCGTGATAACAGTTTTCTTCCTGTGTGACAAAGTCAATCATACATGTTCTGTTCCCAGATTAGAAAGCAGCTTAAAATTCACTAGGTTTCAATGTCTGACTGCTGAGCCTTCTCAACCACATCAACAACAAGCAGGGATTTTTGTAATTTTACATCATTCTGAGGGAGAAGAAAAAATAAACAGAAGAAAATAAAAAATTTTCTATCACTTCTATACCAACATGCACTAAAATCCTCATTGTCTGATGTGAAGGTAAACTTTCCAACTGTCCTGCTGAAGGAGTGCTTTCCCCAGGCTGCCATTTAGTCCACACATACTGCCTCTGCAATCTACTTCCCCAGAATACCCAGTACAGAACATGAGAAGATAAGACACAAAATTCCACACAATGCTGCTGAAGTATTCTTACTCACAAGCTTCACTTAATCATGCTTTCAGCTCCTTCCCTAATATGTTTAGAGTAATGTGTCAGTAGTCACAAAGTTTTCTGTCTGAACCAAATCTACATGACCTATAGCAGAGTTTTACAGAGAAGAGCACACTCTACATGGCATAACTGACTTACCTGAGAACTTTTAAGGAAAGCTTACTAAACTTACTGTAGCTTTATCTAACCATACAGAAAGCAACACAACTTAAAATTTCCACAATATTGACTTCCCAAAGCAAACAAAGTATTAACAGCTTATATAGAGAGTTCATATCTGCACTCCAGGGTTGCAGGACAGAGGAGAGTGGCCACGTATTCATTTATTTATTTTAATGTCTTTAATTGCTAAGTTTGTGGGTCTTTTTTACCATCCATGAATTAAAATCGCATGAGAAAACAAACATTAAATTTAGTTTTACATACACACATAGATATTCCCAGTCTGCAATCTCCCTCCTTTTTAAGCTCTGCCTCCTGCTCCTTACTTTTCCAGGTAGCAGAAGATGATATTCTGATTCCTGTTTCTTAACTTCTTCAACTCTCCCCAGAATGGCACATATTGAACAGTCAAGCCTCTCATCTCTGGCTCATATTCACCCTCTGCTCTTCTCCCCCTGTTGCTGGCACACTCATATACCTCTGTTGAACCTATGTGATATTACTCTGCATCTGCAAAGCTCTCTCATCCATGCACACCACACAGAAAGACTACTCCCTTAGCAGCAGACACTGCTCATTTCAATGTCTGCCTGCTGAAATACCAAAAATGGAATCAGGAGTGAGGCCTAGAAGAATGTACACATTTTGAAGAAAGAATCCCTCAACAGATGAAGAAGTTATTCAAATTTATTAAGATAAGTGAAGAACAAAAAGGAAGGTTTAAATTTTAAGTTTGTATCAAAATTAACACTTATTTAAAATAAGAGTAGAAGAGTAATAAAATAAGTCAGCTTTTTGCAGGATTTTATAACTCAGAAGAGATCTTTCCACTTGATATTTACACTGATGATTTGTAGAGAACCAGTTTCTGAAAAGATTATATTTTCATTCACAGCTTTACAGGCAAAATTCAGGAGATCACAAATTTTAAGCAGATGAACTGCTTAAAACTGAGAACTATTCAAGCTGATGGTAAACACTCCAGTATCTCCTAAAATACTGGATAAAAGCTTGTCTAGCTTGGGCATCTAAAAGGACAACCAAGCTAATGCTTTATAGCTCTCTTTTCATGTACAAAGCTTAATACCACTATTTTAAAATTAAAAAGAAAGAACATTATAGCTCAGACAGACTTGGAACAAGAAACAAAGACCAAACAGACTACATGATAAATATTCCCAGATTCCAGTCTTCTGGGATTCACATGGTGTAATTAAATGTATTTTAAGATGCCTTTGCTTTTTGGCATTTCACAAAACATCTTACAACTTTTTATTGAGGCTCTAAAGTCATTATACTCTTTTTGATTTTGATATACCACTCTTCATGAACATTTCACTGTTGCAAGCATACACAAGAGCTCAGGATATTCCTGAAGTTCTAGTACGTGGTAGTACAATTTCTAGAAGGAACAATGACAGTGGCACACAAGAACACACAATAGTGCAATACGCAGTTGTTGCATAGTCTTTGCTCCTATTCTGCTTAGCAGTTGCTACCTTTGGGCTCACAGAGAAATTGGATTTGTGAATTGTAGAGGGAAGTGGTGAACAACACTGCAGTAGAACAAAGGGTAGGTAGAAACAATCTGTACATTAGACCAGTAACATACCGTTACTCCAGTTAAACCTGGGCCTTTTCCTTCAATTAGTTTATACATTGCTTGAAGTGCTTCCTCATCACTTTTGTCTTTAAATCGCTTCTTGGAGAGTTCTTGAAGAGCTTCCTTAAACTGCTCAAAAGTAATAGTTCTTACAGACTTTCCCCTGTTGAAACACACAGCAATTGAAAGAAATTACAAGAGAGCACAAAAAGCATTTCAGGAATAGCAGAATGGTTTCAGTTTACCACAGTGAACAACAGAAAATTGCAACAGAACAGCAAGGCCCATGCAGCCCATTTATGGGGTAAAATAAAACATATCCCAGGAATATCACTTTATTTCTATCCTGCATCAGTAGGATAGCACTTCATAGAGTTCCCTTGATGAATGTTCAGAAATAAAGAGGAAATAAAGCGACTTGAGTCTACTGTCAAAATGCCTGCAGCTAATCAAATTAAATACAGTCTCATTTGGTTGATCATTTATAATGCCTGCATGTATAAGGCAATATCTGAAGCATCTTAGGCGAGTCTTTTTATTTACTACTTTTTATTCCTCTTTGAATAACTTATCATATTATTTATAAGTCACTATTAATGTATTCACAAATATATTAACAATTATGCTATTGCATAAAGCAAACTATTGAAAAGCATTTAAAAACTAGAAATTCGTCCTCAATTGAAGACTGACAAGTTTTTAAAGGACACATTTAAATTTAGCACCTGTTTTCCTTTGTAGACCATCATCTTCAAAAGACATTTAAAGGTACACAGAAAACACAATATAGTAGCCTGGTAAACTCATAAGTTTTGCTGTACACGTGTGTGGTGCAAATTCTGATGAATGGGAAATTCACACTTTACAAACACCAGTTTATACTGTAATTCCTGCAGATCTTTTTTGGTCCATCACACCAAAGGTATCAGTTGACAGAACTCTTACAAAGCATTCACTACAGTGATATGTATTACCAAAAGAAGGTTAATGCATATCTGTTTTCTAGCATTTTAAAATATTCAGTTTAGGCAGGAGATAATGTTGCAGAGTATGCACTGTTCTGCAAAATTCCCTAATATCAACCTAGTTTTAGTGTTCCTCATTTTAAAATTCAGGTCTGAAGCAACAGCATTAGTGAGTTTACTCACCATTAAACAAAACCCAAATATTTTTAGTTGTTATGAATTACAGCTGTCACAAACCACATCTTTTCCTGTATTAGTAAACTACAGATTCTCTGATCTTTAGAATAAGAATCTACACCCCAAAATTTAGCCATATAATTTGAAATGAAGTTTAGCAGATCAATCAGAACCATTTTCAAAAATATGTTTTGATACTTATGCTGATATAATCTTAAATAGTACTATCCTCAAAAGCAGAAATGTTTACATTACAAAACTCTCTAAGTTAAAGTAATATATGAGAATCCATGTTGCTGGGAAACATGCTACTACATACGCTTTGTTTGCTGCTTGAGCATTTATTTTTATGCCATTTAGAGAACATTTCAAGCAAATCAGTGGACAAAAAAACCAAGCACCACCACACAACCCAGATCAGTCCTTTCAACAGAGACAGCTGTTTACATAGGAATAAACAATTAATGCTAGGATAGAGAAAGTGTGCACCAGCAACAGAAATCTTGGATTAGAAAAGAAGTACACAGAAATCTGACAAAGTGTCAAAAAGACCATTGCGAAGAGCAATTCAGCTAATCATGGATTTATCTTTGATCTTCTTTTAGATACCTTCAGTGGTTAAATCCCTCTCAGCTGGGGGATGCCTCCACTAATGAAAAGGGGAAATGAGATTTCTGGTTTAGCAACCAACAGTTAGAAAGTAATTCCTACTTAATTAATTAAACAAAAATGAAATTTTATCCCAGGCTTTTAAAACAAAGAGGAATCTGTTATTCACAACAAAATTCAACACTAAGGGAACCCTCTACATAACTGTTTATTACTAGCATTCTTTATTTTTAATGCAGCCCAACATGTGTATCAAATGCCAGCAACCCTCATCAAGTAAACTTTAGGTGTTTTTTAACCAAATATTGCAAGTAGTTTGCAACTACTTGTCTGCTTTAGGTAAAGCATTTGCTGGAGTAACTCACATAATTTGCTGGTAAAAGAACATCATGACAGTAGAAACAAAGAATATAATCCAGCATTTAATTAATCAGAAAGACAGGTGGAATAAACTGCCATTAACAACCTGGAATTTCTCCAGGATTCTCATTAATAGGATTAACATCCCTTTTCTGATGAAACATGTCCAAGAACTTTTAAGTAGCACAAGAGATCAAGACTTCATTTTGTTTTGCCTCTCATTTAGAAATAGAAAGCACTGGCAATCACTGCAAGGCTTCAGCATAACAACACCCTAAGGCCCTAAATTCTCTACAGATTAGTAGCCAAACCTAGCATTCAGGCCTGGCCAAAGGCAGTTTCCTGTAGCACATAGGTTTAGCTTGGATCATCAGTCAGGATCATTGCAATGGGAAAGAGAATGATCACTTTCAGCAAAACCAGCAGAAATTCATGTTGACTTGTTTATTTTTCACGGAATATTATGAGCTGGAAAAGACCCACAGGGATCATCTAGTTCAACCCTTAAGTGGTCATGGCCTTGTCGCTATTAGCACCACGCTCTAAACAAATGAACTGATTCAGGGTTTTATTAACACATGAAGAATTTCTGGTTGCACACTTATTAAATAGAAGAGCATAACTTTTTTTGTACAAATTGAAAGGAAAAATACATAAATATGGCTGCCAAGAGGAACAAAGAACATTTGGTCTAAGACACAGGTAAACCTAATGTTCACATTTCATCTCTTACCTATCACTCACATGAAGCAAGGAATTGAGTGGATTTATCCCTTTTAGCTTAAGGTAAAACCACAAATTGGATGCATATATGACCAATGTACTATTGCAGCTGAACCCCGAAAGAGAAACAAATGTGCATCGTAGCTGATACTCTTTACCAGCAAACAACATTAATTGGAGTTATGTTAAAAATATGATTGGGAGTGAAGGAATTTTTGCAACTATATCCCAAGTTGCCTAAATAAAAAATCTTTAATTTTTACATTTGTTATCTTTTCCTACACTCCAAAAATATCCCATCTTGCTCCCCTGTCTATTACAATATTATCAAATACACTTGTAAAGCATCATAATTAACTCCAAAACTCTACAGCTGCAACATATGTCAAATTTTGTGGAAAACCCTAGGAACACAACATGTTCTTGCACTTTTGGTATGTGAGGTATGCCATGTATGCCATGTACCAGCATCTAAATTATCAAGCAGTAATCCTGTCCTCTCTCTAGAGACAGGTTTCAAAGAGCTCTGAGCAGTTGCTGTCATCATGATTACTAACTAGAACAGCATGGTCCCCTCTCCTCTGTCTGTACAGTTATGGGTTGAATGTATAGGAGACCACTGACTACGTAGGTAGAAATGAGAGAGGAAAAGAAAAGTCTTTCAACAAACCTTGATTTACACTCTGTCCAATCCAGGTCCACAAAAACACTGTAGGGATAATGACTTGTGAGTACTATTGGATGGAAAATTGGACATGAGCCAGCAAATGCACTCCCAGCCCAAAAAGCCACCAACTGTATCCTGGGCTGCACCAAAAGCAGCAAGGGAGTAGGGTGTGGGAGGGTATTCTGCCTCTCTATTCTGCTGTGGTGAGGGTCCACTTCGAGCACTGCATCCAGCTCTAGGGTCCCCAGCACAGGAAAGACATTGACCTGTTGGAGCAAGTCCAGAGGAAGGCCACAGATTTGATCAGAGAGAAGGAACAGCTCTGCCAGGTTGGGAGAGTTGGGGTTGTTCTATCTGGTAGAGACGTGGCTCCAGGAGATCTTACTGCAGCTTTTACGGGGCTTACAAGGAAGGATGGGGGAAGGCTTTTTTAGCAGGGCTATTGTGATAGGACAAGGTAATGGCTGTAAATTAAATAGGGTAGATAGAGACTAGATATAAGGAAGTAATTTTTAGGAGAGTGGTGAAACACTGCAAGAGGCTGTCCAGAGAAATGATAGATGGCCCATCCCTGGTCAGGTTGGACGGGGCTATGAGCAACCTGGTCTCAAGCAATATGTCCCTGCTCATTGGGAGAAGGGCGAGGGGTTGGTGTTTACCTAGATGACACGTAAAAGCCTCCCTCCAACTCAAACTGTATGAAAAATTATAATATATGAACACAGCATAATACACAAGGCTGTCATACCCCCAGCTTATTTTCACCATTTTTAATGCCCTGCTCACATTCAGGAAATCCCTTCTTTATACCAGCTTTTCAGACCTCATGAACTTAGGAAAAAAACCCCAACCTATAACCCCCCCAAATAAACTAATTCCTTTTTATTAGCAACTGCTATGAAGAATCAGTTTCTTTGTGTGTATATGTAACTTGTCTTTGAAAGGTCATTATAAATGTCTAATTTCCATGGGAATAACAAAACAAATATATTCACTTTCATTTTCCAAGTGTTACAAGTTCAAACAACTTGTCTACAATTAAGTATGCCAAGGGTGATCACTCAGTTCTTAACACTCATGTCTTAGGTTTAGCATTCCAGAGAGTTATCCTAGAAAGATTAAAAACTCTATGTTGAAAAAAATATTTGAAAATCAAGGCATCAGAATGAAAATTAAAACTGACCAGAAAATAAGACAAAAGGGAAAATAGCAACAAACAAGGGAAGGTAGGAGGGAAAAAAGGTTTTTACGAAACTAGGTGTCAGAAGGTTGGCCACTTCAAGGAAAAGAACAAACTATATGAGGGCCATTAATAATAAAAAATTTTAAAGCCCTACAATTCATTATGACACAAAGAAACCTTTATGTTTAGAAAGGATACCTTCTTACATACCATTCTATTTTAAGCTCTGCTTCTTACAACAAACAGAATTACTGCAATGCATCATCCTTCAGCAGCAGAAACTGTGTTCATGGTACAATAATGATAGCCTCCTGTATCTATGCCTACATTTGGAAACAGAATGAACATACTCAGAAGAATTTTAGGAAGCTTCCTATCAGTTCCCCTTCCTTGATAAGTCACTCCACATGTGGCTACTATGTAATGGGAGATTCTGAACTGAAGTTTGAAATCCTCAGATTCCTCTTGGGAGCCAAAGT